TTCCTGGACTGTCCAATACAATTCCGTGTGTCCAGAGCTAACTTGAATCACATCATTTAGGAGTCTCCCGCTGTAAATCTCACAGCCATGGGATCAAAAGGCCTCTCCACTTCTGCTTAAGTGGCTCTTGATTCCAGGCCTGGACATACACCCAGTCTCCTGACTGGTGAGGATACACTTGAACATTCAGGGTTATTAGTGTTAAGAATGAGGCCTCATATGTCCAATTCAATAAACCACAAACTTAAAATGTAGCAGCAGTTTTAATTGATGTCAGCAATTTTAATTGAGATGAAATAATACAATCAGGTATAATTCAGTAGTTACAGAAATTTGGTAGTGCTTCGGACCAAGCATAAGCAAAAACCGATTGATCGGGCTACGGGGAGGGTTTCCCACCCTGCCTCACGTACGAAGGCAAAAGGATCCAGACACAACTTACATACAGTATTCTAATACATATTCATCAGTAGTTTTCCATCAATCTCCTCCTATTTTCCATTCTCGAAATCTGTGTCACTCTCCTGCACAGCACATGCTCCCAGTGTTGCTATGGGGTCTTCTGGTCTCTTTGGGGTCTTCTTGGAGGAAGGCTGAAGGTCTTCCTCACATGTCCTCTGGATAACCTGGCAGGTGGTGCATGCAGATTAAGCTTAAGGTGTTATAGAAGTAAGCATTATGTTCCAATTAACCCTTATTTATTTCATAGATAAGATCACTCTTTTGGACTCTCCATCTGGAATTGCCCCCACCTTATTCATATCCAAAGCTGGTCCTGCACAGGGAATTGCCTTAACTTTAGTTGCTGCCAATTTTGGTTTGGGAGTCAGTTCCTGACCTAGTCCATCTCCAAGGTCAAATCCAATCCCTGTATCCTGTTTCCTTGTAGATGTATCAGCTAAAAAACCCCATCTGCTCCATAATACTGATCACATATACTTTTCCCAATTATTTTTCAGAACTATTGATATACTTGCAATTTTGTTAGCAAAATCACATCCATTTATCACATTAGCGAGACCAAAACAACAAACTTGCGCCTTGATGAAAGCATTTGCTCCTAAGGGTTACAGATTCTCTAGCAGCAGCATTTCGGCCTCCAGCCGCTGGTGGCAGACAAGGCTCAATGCCCACGGCTGCCAGGAGGAGGCCCAGAAGGAGCAGTTTGCAAAGCTTCATTGAGAATCCAGGGAAACTGAGTCTCCATTTATTCCCCATTTTCTTTCCAGAGAGCGTCTTGGCATATTTGAATTCACCACCCACCCTCTCACAACTCACTTTGTGGAGGTGGTGCTGAGATTTTGTTTTCTCAGCCTTCATCCATAAATTTGATCAATAACACAGAAGGAGGTGTATGGGACATCAGCTGTTTCTCATGCATTGCTTGCGGGTTCTCCCCTCTCCAAGGGGTCCAAACTTTGCAAACCACAGGTTGTTGCCCTTCTCCAAAAGATTTATTTCATTCCTCCCAATAGCGAAATTCTCAAAACACTCCCCATTTCACTTTCTTTGGGTTCATTGCTAATTTTCCCGTGTGATTCAACCACTTCTGTCGCAGACTGAGGTACCACTACCGGACACTGCCTGCTGATAAGCGAATTCCTTCTTTATCCGCGGGCAGGGCTTGGGATGAGGAGGAGGGAAGAAGATCGGCTGTGCAGAGTGGAACATGTCCCGCAGGGAGCGGAGGAAGGTGACATCCCCTTGGGGCCGTCCCGCCTCTGTGTTTGCGAGGGGCGGGAGCAGTTGAGGCTGAGGGCCGGGCTTGGACTCTGAGGCGTTAAAGGCCTGCCAGGGGCTGCGGGGCTGGCCTTGCAGTCAGGGCGGCCCGGCTGTTGCTGGCGTGTGGAGAACGCTGCTTCCAGGCCTTCCCCGGCAGTGTCAAATTGCAGCTCTAAAGCTCTTTGCCTTTGCACCAGCGTGTTTCAGTGGTTTCTCATGTTTTGGGGGCTGCCTTCATCCCGGCATTCAGTTCCTGCTCTGGCCTGAGGCCGGCTGTTGTTTCAGGCCCTGAGGCAATTTGCAACTGGTTCAGCTCCTTTTCTAGCTGTGGGCAACATTCAGCTCTCTGAGTCAAACCTCCATGCCTATGGGTACCAGGCATGGTGCTTTCCTGGGAATGTTTAATTTTCTTCTACCAATGGTCATATTTTCTGCACGTGTAACTTCAGATGGTGCCAGTTTCCCTCAGTCACCGTCTCTCTTTAGGGCTGGACAAGCTTTCTATTGAAGCTTTTAGCAAGTCTGTCAGTGGAGAAAAGTTCAGCTCAGTTTCTGGGAGGGATTCCATTACTTTTCTGCCAGAAAATAGCAGCATTGACTGAAAACTTATTTCTCCTTTATTATGTCATGAGCAGCTCCTGCTGTATAGAAAAGGCCCGTGTCACCTCAAGAGTACCCTGCTTGCTGTGCCACTTAAGATGAAAGGCCCCAAAATGTTGCTCTATGAGAGGTTTTAAAAGGACTTAAACTTGTTCATGTATTCTGAGCTAGAAAAGCAGGATTGATACTGAAGCGATGTTCTCAAGGGGTTGGAACAACAGAAAACCCTTCCCTGGCAACTTTTGAAAATCAGAGAACTTTAAAGGCAAAAAAAAAAAATTTCATCAAGATTTAAGCAATATAAAACATTCCCTGAAGCATTAACTTAGCCCATTCAACTTATGAAACTCCAAGTCTGTTAGAGTTTAAATTTCTCAAAAATCTGAGAGGATGGAACTGGGAGAAGAAAGAGAGAATGACCAAAAAGAACCAACAGAGCTACCACTCGAGGTTCCAGTGCTGTTCAGCTGATAGAAATTCCAAGAGGAGGTAGTGTCAAGAGATGTGGTGGCCACACATCCCGAGGCAAATAGCCTTTGGCTTTCCTGGGGCCTTGCCCCACATGGGACTCCCACTCACCTGGCCATTTAGGAGCTGGGTTAGGGGCTCCAGACACAGGTGTGGAGCATTGTCTTCGGTGTGCCAGGGATCAGCGGCCACAGCTGGGCTGGGATGCAGGCCTGGGGGTGTGGGGCGTGCAGAGTAGGGCATCGCCTCAGCAGAGCAAGGCTTGATCTGCCCCTTTCCCCACCTACAAGCGCCTGAAAGGTTTTGAGGCAGCAATGTCCTCTAGTGTCTCACAACAAGGTTTCCAGGTTCCTGTGCTTCTTGGCTGTCAGGACTCCAGAGATTTGCGGAGGGATATTAAGAAACGTTCACTTTTACTCCTTCTAAAAGAGGCAGCATGAGGGTTGTTTTTCCTTTCTAAGGCCTTCCCTCCTTTCTTTCTCCTCTTCTTGAGATAGTCCTTGTCAAGCTATCCTCTCTCACCTTCTCCATGACAATGGAGGGGGACAATGAAAACAAAAATCTATAAGAATCTGAGATTGTTAGAGTTGCAATGTAGTGAGGAAAAAAAAAACAAAACGCAGTACACAAGAAGAAGAAGAAAATTGTGCAAAAAAGGTAATGGCTTAACCAAGCGAGGTGAAGTGTCACATAGGGCCCCTGGAGCAAAGACAGGGTGGCCAGGGCTTCCAGAATGGTTCTGCTGGTAGATTGGAGCTGCTGGTGCTGCCTGGAGCAGCTCTGGAGCTGCAGTGGCAGCTTGCTGCTCCCTCTCTGCGGCAGTGGTGGTGGCAGTGGCGATGGTGATGGGTGTCTCTCTCCCTGCGGAGCTCTGTTTGGCACTGCTGCTGCCATCAGTCCGCCACGCTGGGCATGTGTGTGGGAATGGGATCTGCCGCTTCGCTGCCTCTTCCTGCCACCCTGCTGGGCTGCACTTGGCTTGGCTGGACTCCCTTTGGGCTTGGCTGAACTCACTTGGTATCAGTGTCACCGCTCTGGGTTGCCTTGTTCTGCGTGAGCAGAAAAACAGTCCCACATGCCACCCTGGCCCTGATGGTTTCAGCTGTGTGTCAGAGCTGTCACTTCATTGCCACCCATCTCAGTCCCGTGTCCTAAAATTTACTGTGGAAGGACAAAAGTGGGGGGAAAACATGGTGGTGCTGCGTTGGTGCCAAGGCCTCTCTGCTAGAGTGAGTCAGAGAGAAGGATCCTCCTTGCATTTCATGTCATGGCATTTCCCTGCCGAAATCACACCCGTGGCTGTGGTGTAAAATGCTTTGAATAAATAGTGCTGAAAGATGCATGGCCTTGCCTCTGTACTGAAACCCTCTGGTCCTTTCCTGGGTAGTTGGCCAGTGGCTTTCCTGAGAAACGGCCCTGGCGACTTTGATGAGAGAGACTGCTTGATCCAGTTGTTCACAAAAGCAACTTAATTGTACTAGCAAAACAACAAACTAAACAGTGTGCACAGTACAAAGAACGAAGCAGAAAAAGCCAGGGTCTGGGGTCTGCAGCGATACTTAGACATTCCCAGAAGGGGAGGGGTTAAGGTGGGCTTTGAAGAATGGATCCAACAAGAAGGAATGATTTGAAATTTTACAAGTAATGCAGTAATAATTATCCAATGGTATTACAGAGAAATCAGAGCTTTCTAGTAATAATTTGAATAATTGAACAAGAGGATCATGGGTGGGTGTTCTGACTCACCCTAACTACAAGGGTTTCCGTATTGCCTCAAGTGGAAGTCTCCTGAATTTTTCAAACCGGCTTCAACACTGCACCTGGGAGAGACCTCTACCCGCTAGCTCAATTACCTACATATAATTGAAGTAGCGCTTCTCCTGCTTTCTAGAACTAAGGAAGGTCCAGCTGGAAGAAGCCTTCTGGTTTTTGCTCAGAAGCAATAATGGCCAAAGAGCAGTAATGTGGTTGCTCACATCCTGGTCCCTTCTCAGTGCTTATCTTCTCAGTGTGGGCTAGAGGGGCTTAGTGTGATTTTAATTTTAGATGCCTTGAGCAAGAGGTTATGGACTGGGAGGGCTTTTTGTGTTGCTTTGTAGCAGAGGAGAACTCTGCAGGGTATTTTTGGCATCGTCTGTAGAGAAGGTGTGGTTCTGTGCATGAACTCACAAAGCAGCCCAGGGCACTGCTATTGTGATGTCAGCGGCCGCATGGCAGCGTTGTCAGGCAGAGTTGCTGTGCCGAGGCCCGGCAGGGCTCAGTGTGCAGAGCAGCTCTGTGCACGCTCACTGCAGGGGAACCTGCTCATCGACGAGGTCTCTGCCAGCACGACTCTGAGTATTTTTCTTTTCTCCCTACAGGCCTTGTCTGGTGCAGACTTGACCGGCGCCGCTCAAGCCATGGAGGGAGTGTGTGCTGCAGCTTTCACGGCCTTCACTGTGGCTTATTCCGGGTACTTTTTCACCCACCTGGCACGTAAGTAGACGTTTTTGTTCAGTGCAGCATGTGGAAACCCAAATGCCACAAAGAGGCCTTCAGCTGGATAATGCCCCTGCCCCGAGCTGCAGCTAAGAAGGGGGTGTCTCTCGCCAGTGGGGCGTGGGCAGCATTTGTAATGTAGCTAGCAGGGGTTCCGCTCCTGCCGTGCCATGGCCTGTGGCAATGGAGGCTGGAGTCTCCTCAGTTTGGTGGCTCCAGCAAGACAACTTCCAGGATGGGAAGACTGGGAGAGCTTGGCAGGAGTCCTTGTAAAAGCTGTGCACTGCTCTCCAGGACTGAGGGAAAGTCCCTCAGTTCAAGTCTTCTTGTCTGCATTCCCTCATCCCAGCATGTGCCTGTGGAACTTGACGCTTCCTGCACGCTAAAAGAGCCGTTTGTTCTGTGATGAAATTACAGAACGCGCTTGGAAAAGGCCTCTGAGATAGACATTTTAGAGGAGTTCTTGTATGCTCCCAGACACAGGAGCTGTTCCGCTGCTGTGTCACCACAGAACTGCCACCATGGCTCAGGGGGACAGGGGTGAAGCCTCCCTGGGGAAAGGTTTTCAGGAAGTTCATGGCAATTGCTGCATGCAGTGTCTTGAGAAAGCTGAAGTACAGGAAAGAGAGGAGCTGTAGCTGCTGCAGGTTGGGGTGGGGCAGAAGCAATGACTGTTAGAGAACCACTTGGAGATTTTCTCAGTCTCAAGTTTCTATGGGTTGAGTGGCCAAAGAGGACAAAAGGTAGACACCAGGCAGTATTTTGTGCTGCTGTTGTCTTGCTTGCTGTGTGCCACAAGGGATGCTGCTGGAGACATGTAGTGAAAGCAGAATGCTCTGTCTTTGGGTTGACTTTTTGGTGGGCTTGGCCAGCACAGGCAGTTTTCTTACAGCATCTGGTTCTTTTTCCCTTGTGTGTTGCAGGTCACATCAGCCTTGCCTGGAGAGAATCCAGTCTTTGGGTGAGTGGCACAGGAGCCTCTGGCATTGGCAGCATTTGACACTTGTGGAGCAAGCTGTGAGCTGGGGCTTTTGCAGTCCAGTGCCAGCGTGGCTGGATGAATGAAAGTACAGTCCAGGCCCTTTGCAGCAGAGGCAGCAGCAGAAGCTGGAGAACCCCAGGCTGTTTTCTCCAGTTCCTTTCCAGAGCTTTTAAGCGGCTGAAAGTGGGGCTGCTGGGCGCTTTAAGCCATGACGGAATTTCTCCTGTACAAGAGAGTGCAGTCCCATCAAATTGTCCCGTTTTACTTGAGTTTGAGCACCTTAGAATCCCATTTCTCTGCAGATGCTTTCTCCTTAGTGCATCTGGCTCTAGAGCTGAATATAAAGAAGGTTACGTGCCCCTGACACTGCTGTCTGTCTGCAGAGGCCAAAAGGAACCTCGGAGCCTCCTGTGGCTGCGGGTCTTCCTGAAGACGAGGCCAAAGGGGAGGAAGATGCCCAGCAAAGTGCCCCTGGTGCCACTGCGGGGCCTGAGCATCCAGCATCAGTAGGTGGCAGCTCTGGGTATTCCTGTGGCTGGAGCAAAGCATAGCTGCAAGTTTCTGATCAGACAGCACCTCCCGTGCCTGGCTGAAGATGCTGAGGGCTGGAATCTTTGCTGCCCTTCCCCCAGGCTGTGAGGCCTGGAAAAGGGGTGTGGAACTTGGATGTTTAGGCATCACCTTCCTACTGTTCTGAAAGGGGCTGTGATTTTTTCTTAGCAAGAGAAAAGAGGTAGCATTAGGATGTCTTTGGATGCTCCTGGGGTACAAGTGAGGCCCTTGGTGCCCAGTGGCTGTGCAGGCTCCCTGTCCCCAGTGAAGAGAACAGTGCAAAGGTGCAGTTCAGAAGCTTGCAGGATATTTGCAGAGCCTGTCCCCAGGAGGGACCTGGTCCTGCACAGAGAGCAGCTGTCAGTAGCTAAAGGATCAGCTGAGATGCAGCGGGGCCTGTAGCTGAATATAGGTAAGGTTGTGAATGACAGGTTCTTTCCTGTCCCTCATGCTGCTGTGTGTCCACAGAGCAGAAGGGCAGCGTCAGCACCTGCTCTGGCTGCCTCTGTACCCGAGGAAGAGGCTGAAGAGGAGGAAGGTGCCGATGAACCTGCCCCTGCTGTCAGCCCAGGGCCAGAGCAAAGATCATCAGTAAGTGCCTGCTTTGGTTAGCAGTGTCTGTGGTGTCATTTTGTGCGTGGTGTAAAAGCAGCCTTTGGATTCTGGGCCTTGAGCTGGAGAAGCAGGCTGCAAAAGCTGAGAGGTGAAGAGCCCTGGATGTGGCCAGCAGCATCTTCCTAGGGGCCTGCATTTGAAATGGGATGGGAGGGGCATCTCTGCCAGGCACATTTGTGACCCTCATTCATTTCTTGTCCCAGAGCTCCACCTCCTCTGTCCTGGCACCTGCAGGAGCTGCAGCGGAAGGCTCTGAAGGAGCCTCCAGTCCCCAAGCTGGCAAGTCAAGCGTGAGCAGCTCGTGCATCTGGAGCACGAGTAGCTCCTCTGGCAGCAGAGAGCAGCTGGGAGAGAGGAGAGAGGACAAGTACCTGGCCAAGCTGAGTAGGTCCTTTGTGATCCTTGTCTGCTGGAGCAGTGCCCTGTGTGTGCGTGTGTCGGCATGAGCTGTGCCAGCTCGTGTTCCTCCTCAGCTGAGTGCCAGGTGCTGAGGCCTCCACACAGGACCTGTTGTTGTGCTTTGAGGTGGTGAGGGGTCACCGGGCTGTTGCTCCTGCCTCTGAGAGCAGCTCAGCCTGGCTTGGCTTTGCCTGAGCTTCCCTGGAGGCAAAAGGCAAACCAGAGATTGTTTCTGGCTGAGCAGGAGGCCGTGACCCAGCCAGTGAGTCTCAGGCCTCAAGGAGCTCCTGTGGGGCACGGCCAAGGTCATCTTCAGAACTCAGCCTGTCCTAAAGGCTGAGGCACCTCACTCCTAAGGCCCATCACAGTAGGTTGGAACATGAGCTGCTGCTCCTGAAAGGCAGAAGGCCATTGTTTAGGCAAAATTGTCCTGCTTAAAGCTGGAGATTGCGCTTCTGCTGGAAGCACTTTGCAATATTCTTGCTGTGCTGCAAAGGGCAGCTGTTGAGAACAATGGTGCCAGGAGCCAAGATGCCTTTGATGTTTGCAAGGATTCAGGGTTTGGCTGAATGTCACAGAGTGTTGGTTGCCACGAACAGCAAGGTTTTATTTTTCCTGCTGCCCTTAATGTTTCCAGACAACAGTCACTTCTCTTGGTTACAGGTTTCTGGTCCCCGTCTCCTCTGCCTGTTTCTGCATGTGCTTAGGTTTTAGTTTAGCCTTTTAGTTTGGTGCAGGCCATCTGTGCTGCAGTGCTGCTTGTCTTGCTGCTGTTGTTTTTGAGGGGGTGGTGGTGCGGTGGTGTTGTTGTTTCCCGACTGCCTGAGTTGAAAGGGCCCAGTGTGGCAGAGAGTGGGGCTGCCTTTCTGATCTGCTGCAGGGTGGGATCTCTTTTGAAGTGAGCATCTTTCCTTGGGATTTTTACAGAGATGCTGGTGAGCGAGGGAGATCCTGAGGCTGTATACACAGAACTGGAAACTATTGGCAAAGGGTGAGTGCAGCCACAGCTCCTTCTTCAAAGGGAGGGCCTGTGCATTTTGCTGGTGTCACATCTGCCCAGAGCGACGTCAGGCAAGCTCCAAAGCTGTTCAGACACTGCGTTAAGATGATGCCTGATGATCTCTCAGTACGGGTCAGCATTTATAGCTGTGGTTCGAAGGCATGGCAAAGACACCTGGATGCTGGCAATGTCTTTTCTGCGGCAAAGAGCAGCACCTGGCAGATCTCCTGCCCCTCAAGTGTGTTGCACCTGTTTGCCGCTTTTCCCAGGAGAAATCATTTTTCATGGTTTAAAAGAACACAGAATGCATGGGCATGAAAGGAGGAGCAACTTTGTTGCCTCAAAGGTCAAGTTGGCAGCTGACAGCTGTCGGGGAACAGCTCTCGGTAACATTTCTTTCCAGTAGCTTGCTGAAAACAGGGTTCAGTGGTCAGGATGGCCACCGCCTAGTCTACAAGGCAAAAGCCGAAATGAAAGAAGCAGCTGTCTTTTGTAGCTGAGGTGGCAAAAGACAAAGCTTCAGGGCAATGCCCAGTGCCAATGCACTCCAGAGGAAAAGGCATCATCTGGCTGATGGCAGACCCCTGGTGGATGCTGTCGGGTTTAGGCCTTTCCTGCAAAGGATCCACCAAGCTGTTCCCTTTGAGAGCCGGCTCTGCTGCCTGGAAATGGGACTGATTTGCAACATTTCCTCGGTGAGAAGCCAAATGTACAAGAAGTCTCCAGAAAAGTCGAGTCCTCCCTGTGTCTGATGCATTGAAGAGAAGCAGCTGCCCAATGCTCTGGACTCAGAATGCAGCTGTCCAGGGATCCTGTGTTTTGAGGACTTCTCCATCTGTGTGTGCAGCCATGGAAGCCTTTGCCTGCTCTGGCTGTTGCTGGACACTAATTTCCTTGCAAGCTGAAGAAGGAATCTGTGTCTAGAGGCTTTCCTCCATGGCTGTTACATGGCTTCAGGCTTCTCAGAAAGCCTGAGTGGTGGTGCTTGAGTTTGTCAGACAGACTCCAAGGAGAGGTGGGAGAAGGCCCAATTGGCATGTTCCTGGAAAAAACCCACACATGTACAGACACAGAAAGAGAAAAGGGGGAAAACACCAAGATGAGAATCGGTCCTGTTCCATTTACTGTTTGCCCAGGGGCTTTTTTCCCATTGGACTGCAGTGTCTTGCCCTTGCAAGGACTAAAGCACTTCTTCTTTCTCTGCTGCTGTTTTGTTTCCAGGGGTTTTGGCCTGGTGTGCATGGCAGTGGAGACTGCCACAGGAGAAGAGGTAAGCGTCAAGCAGCACCACGGCTTCTGCAGCTCTCGAGTGCCTCCCCACTGCTGTGAGCTGTGGCTGAGCTTTGGGTGGCCAGTAGAGCTTTGCTGCAAAGGGAAATGAAGTGCAGAGCAGTGTCCGCCTGCCAAATACAGCGGGGACAGATTTTGTCCTCCTCAGCTGCCCCAGGGAATGCAAGGAGGCCAGGCGGTATCTGTCAGAGGAGGACACGCTGCCTGGGTCTTAGTGCCCAGCTTGTGTCTCAGAGCATGGCACTGCTCTTTGGGGCTGCAGGGTTGCTGAGTTCTCATTTCTGGCTGTCAGCAAGTACATGGGAATGGTGCTGGTAGTTCTGTAGGCACCTGCAGTGCTGCCCGTGGAAGTGTGCTCAGAGAGAGTGGTCTGCAAGGAGCCTCTCAAGGGCCTAAGTCCTGCTCGGAGCCCGGTGTATACGCCTAGGAGATCAAGGCAGGAGTTATGTCTTTTTGCAGTCAGGCAGTAATTGCAAATGTCAGTGGTGTGAAGGAAAATATTTTAGTGGAGCAAAATAAAAATTCCTGAAGTGAGGAAGTGCTAGGATTGTCTGTTTTGGAGGCATTTTTTCCCTGAAGTATGTAGGGTTGCATTTCTTAAAGGGAAGAAGCCTCAGGATGTTTTTAGGACAGCATTTTTTCAGTCGTGTCTGTGAGAATTGGCTTTGTTGTTGTGCGATAGAGAATGCCAGTGGTTGCTGGAGGAATGACCAAACACCCTAGAAGTGCCAAAGGTTTCCCAGCAGTTTTGTTCCATTTTTACCAGCACAACATGGCTTCCTGCTTGCAAGAGGTGTGTGAACGAGCATGGGGATGATAAAGTAATACCATGTGGGGAGACTGGCCCTGGGGCAGAGTGAGTGTTGTTAGAGCTTGGAGGTGGAGAGCTTAGAGCGTGTTTCTCCCAGGTTTCCAAGGCAAAGGATATGTGGCTCCGTGTCCTGGGAGGTGCCCAAGCAGGCGCTCTGATGTCCTGTCACAAGGCAGCTTGGCCCAGCCCAGCACTATCATCCCATCATCACTGTCTCCATGTTGCCCTTGTGGTCCTGTGCCACAGACTTCTTTGGTTCATGGCTTTCTATGTTGTTTTAGGTGGCCATAAAGAAAATTAGTCTCTTGCAAGAGAGCGGCAGCGAACTGTGCCTGAATGAAATCCAGGTCATGCGTGGCAATAAGCACGCCAACCTTGTCAACTATGTAGACAGGTGAGTGGTTCTGGTGTTCTGCCGTGAGAGGTCATTCACATCCTGCAAGCCAGAGGTTCAACCGCTCCTTTGGTGGCTGGCAGAGGATGGGGCTGTTCATTCCTGTTTCTGGGCTGATCTACAGCGTCTTGGGAGGAGATTGCATTGGGGCTGTGTTAATCTTTCCTGGCATACCGAGTTTGAAGGGCGCCTTCAAAGGCCAGACTTGGCTCTATCTTAGCGAGCCAACAGCCTCAAAGTTCCTGTGCTCTCTCCCCATGGTTTTGTTTGGTTTGGGGTTTGATTTTTCCCCCATGGGTCTGAAGTGCTGACAAAGCACTGTAGATTGTATTTCCCTTGGCCTGTTGCGTTGGTGTGGATACCAAGCAGTCTTTTAGACTGCCCAGAGTTCAAGGCCTGTGGAGCATAGTGAATGACTCCCCACTTCCTCCTGTCTTCCTCTGAGAGAGACACAGAAACAAGAATGCATCAGGTGGTGTGAGTGCGCACATTCATCTCCAGGCTGTTGTTTCCTCCTTTCAGCTACCTGCTGGACGAGGAACTCTGGCTGGTGATGGAATACATGGACGGAGGTTCCTTACACGATGTCATCAGGGAGACTCGTCTGGCAGAAGGAGAGATAGCAGCTGTCTCTCGGGAGGTCAGGGACGGTGCTTGTGCTTCCCATGGCTTGGTCACAATGGTCCTTCCAAACGGGTGATAAGGAGAGGAGAGATTTCATCTCCTGAGCCTCCTTGCTGCCTTTCTCTTATGACTGGCAGTAGCAAGAGCATCTGAAGTGCCTGCCAGTGTCCCTGCCCTTCTTCTAGTGTGTTTGTATTTGCCTCTCTAAACACTTGCCTGGGGCCTGTGTGTGCTGCCTTCCTGCATCCCTGGAGGGCAAAGGTGCTGGTGGTGCAACTGTCAAACAAGTGGCAAAGACAAAGAGATACTTGCAGCACTCTCAGAGAGCTGAGGAGCCTCAAAGGAGAGCCTTGCACCCAAAGTGGTGTTTGCAAAAGCATCAACTGTTGCCTGGCTGGAGAGAGCACAGCCACTGCAGCAGTGCTCCACTTAGGCTGGTGTTTCTTTTTCCTCTCTCAGTGCCTGCAAGGCCTGGATTTCCTTCACTCCAAGCAAGTGATCCACCGGGACGTCAAAAGCCGCAACATTCTCCTGAGTCTGGACGGATCTGTCAAGTTGGGTGGGTGTTGCTGGCCAGGCTCAGCCGTGGCAGGCTGTGGTGTGGGGCTGCCTTTGGGTGACTGCCGGTTCCCTTGCAGCGCAGGCTGCCCTGCTGCAAGCGCAGAGCACAGCCACAAGGTGCAGGGAGGTGTTGCTGGGAACAAGGGCTCAGGAGTGCCTTTGGCTTGCGGATGTGTCCCTTCCCAAGCAAGGCACTCCCAGTCTAATAGCTTCAGGGCACTAAAAGCCACTGTCTGAAACTGGGGGCTTTTGCTAAGTGGCCAATTCTGCATTTCTTTTGCTGCAGGCCCAAGGAATGGCAGCATGGCCCCTTTATGGCAGCTGGGTTCCACGCTGCCTTCTTGGACATGGCTACAGTGGGGACTCCTTTTGTTTGCTTTCCTCACTCACGCTGCCTCCTTTTTTCTCCTCAGCTGATTTTGGCCTTGCTGCTGAGCTCACCGCTGAGCAGAACAAACGGAGATCAGCTGTCGGGACCACTTACTGGATGGCGCCTGAAATCTTCACCAGGAAGCTCTATGGCCCCAAAGTGGACATCTGGTCCTTTGGCATCGTGGCGATCGAGATGGTGGAAGGGGCGCCTCCTTACTGGAATGAAACCTCCCGCACGGTGCGCTGCAACTGCTCTCAGATTCTGCTGTCACCCAAACAAAATCTGCTCCCATTCTTCTGCCTGGCAAGCTTGCTAACACCTGGAAATGAGAGGTTCCAGGCTGCATAGTGTCTCGTGCTCCTTGTCCAGATCATCCCCTTGCCAATTCAGTGCAGGAACAGCACAAAGAATCGTGATGCCTTTTGCTTGACGGAAGCTTTGCCTAAGGGAGCAGTGAGCAGTGCTGAGCTGCATTGTATGGAATAATCCTTGGAAACAGTAGAGTTAGACCAAAGTTCATCCTCCAAATCGCCTGTAGAGCTGGTGTCAGTTCTCAGAGAAGCCAAGCGTGCTTTTGCTGACGGAGTTGCTCCTAATTGCATCAGCCAGTGAAATCAGGGGTGAAGGCAAGAGCCTTTGCATATTGGACTGGCTAGGGCTGCTTTGGGTCCTTTCAGCAGGGGTTGGAAAGGTGTCTCCCAGGATCTAGCAGGGAGTGAAGTGCCACTGGAGAGTGGAGGCTGTCCGGGGGGGGTGTGTGAGCAGTTTGGGGTGCGAAGGAGAAAGGTAGAGTGTGGCATTTCCTTCTTCCCTAGGTTCAAGAGCTGATCAGCAGCGGAGGCAGGCCGAAGCTGCAGAAGCCCAGGCAACAGTCGGCGTGGTTGCGAGACTTTCTGCACTGCTGCCTGGAGAGGGATGAGGACAGGCGCTGGTCTGCCCAGGAACTGCTGCAGGTAAAAGGCAAAGCGGCTGCAGGCTGCGCCAGCTGCCCGCTGCCAGGGGCTCCTCATCTGCTCAAATCCAAGGCGTCTGATGGGCCCCGCTCCTAAGAATCTCCAGTCTGGGGGCTTGCAAAGGAAAACAAAGGAGAATCCTGGCCTAGGATGCCTTGGAAGGAGCCTTTCAAGGTCACCTAGACCAAATCTCCTCATCTGGATTCATGGATTTGTGGGATTGGGAGCCATGTGTGGCTCATGTAGCAAGGTCCTGGATGTGGAGACAGAGGTGCCCAGAATGCCCTCCTTCCTGCTTTCTGTATCTTTCTGGTAGCCAGAGAAAGCCTGTTTCAGCCTGTGAGGAAAGGTGAAGTTCATGTTTTCATTTTCTCTTTGGGCAGCATCCGTTTGTAACATCAGCCAAGCCAACCTCCGACCTGATGCCTCTCATCATGGCCACGCAGCAGTTTATGGCCGACAGGAGATACTAGCCCTGGAAGAGGCCATTGTTGTAGTTTGTAGATTGTAGTTTGTAGTTTGTCGTCTGTATTGTGTAGTTTGTAGTTTGTAGTTTGTAGTTTGTACTTTGTACTTTGTACTTTGTACTTTGTAGCTCGTAGTTTGCAGTTTGTATTTTGTAGTTTGTCGTTTGTAGCTTGTAATTTGTAGTTTGTAGTTTGTAGTTTATAGCTCGTAGTTTGTTGTTTCAAGATTATAGATCATAGTTTGTAGTGTGTTGAGACTGGTAGTCAAAATAAATACTGTCATAAATAAAACCTTGACTGTGCTGGAAGCTTCCCTTTGTTCTCAGCCTCTGAATAAGTCTCTTTTTATAGTCCTCTACACAAATATATATTAGAATGCATTCTACATTAATGCAGAGGTCTTTTCCCTCCCACTGATTGAATGAACTCTAATTGGTTGTATCTTCAGGATGTACCAGTCCTCTGTCTTTAGACCATCAAACTGTACATTTTCCACTAATGTCTTAGGCAGAAATTCTCTTAGGCATTACCAAAATTTTCCTCCTCTCATGTGATGAATGCCTGGTCAGTCTTCTACTGCTGATACCTCTGTAGCACACCCTGGTGTTTGTTAAAAAGCTTTTCAATCATCACGGTTTCAGCAGGATTTCCTGTGTGAGGAGGCTCTGCTGAAATGGCCCTAACGTCCTGGGAGCTCTTGGCTCTTGCAGATTGTAGAGCATGAGGTGCAGAGAAAGGCACCAGAACAGGGAGAAAGCAGCACTCAGAGACTTTGTCAGGGAAATTACCATTTATTTATTTCTTTTTTTCTTGGCTGAAGAGTTCCTGGACATGTGCTAGTGCTGCTGGCGAGGTGGCCTCTTCTTGGGTCTGGGAGAATCCTGGAGGCTGGGGGTTCTCTTCCTCCGGGCATGCCGGGGCTCTCCAGAAGAGTGGTCCCTGCTCTGGTCAGGAGCGGAGGGGCTGCAGCCCTGAGCAGATGGACCTGCTGCTGTCACCGTCTGCTCCTGCTCTTCTTGGGGCTGGTCCTGCTCTGAGCAGCTGGTCATAGATGAGGGGTGGCTGGGACTCTGTTGGAGACCAGTTGCTTGTGTACCAGCTTCCTCCTCTGCCTCGGAGCCTGTGGGTTCACTGGCAAGCATCACCTCCTGGGAGCTAGTGTAGCTGGGGCTACTGGGGTTGGTCCTGGCATGATGGAAGCACAGCAGCCTCTGGGCTTCGTCCCTGCACTGGCCTGCAATGACACTGATGATGCCATAGACCAGTGATGCTGTGTGCCCATTGAGGAGAGGCTCCAGCAGCTCAACCAAGGTCTCTGCATTCAGACCACAGACACAGAGGCCATGCAGGATAGAGCCCTCTGCAGCCTCTGCTCGCCACCACTGGTCCTGATAGACTGCTGCCAGCCTCCAGCGGAGCCAGGGAAGCACAGGGTCCAGCAGTTGCTGTTGCCTTTGGAAAAGTTCTGCCCAGACCTCAGGTGGGAGGCCACCCATGAACTCTGGCTCTGTAGCCCCCTGCTCATCTGGAGACAGCATCCTTTGTGGAGAAGGTGGAGGGGATACCCCAGGTTGATGGGGGCTGTTTTGGGTCAGGAGGAATGGAGTGCTCCCTGCCTGGCTGCTGTCCTCTGCCAACTCTTCTGAGGCTGTGATGGCAAACTGTAGGTAGTCCCATTCACTCCGCTCAGAAAACCTGACAATTTCCATAGGTCTGCTGCAGAGTGGGCATGCTGGATTTGTCTTTGCCAACCGCAGGATGCAGCCCAGGCAGAACTGGTCATTACAAGGCAGAGCAGAAGCCACATCACTCCGAGTCTTGTGGCAGATGGGGCAGCTCCAGTCTGTCTCCGTGGCCATGTCTTCCTGCTGCAGCAGGCTGGGGAGAACCGAGGGCCAGAAGGAGCTCCCGCTTGCAGGCACACTCAGTAGAAGTCCAGGCTTGAGCGAAACTGGGCCAGCCAGGCTCTGCAGGGCACACATATAACCAGCAAGGGATGTGATATCATAGTCCATCTCCTGGTGATGTTGTTCTCAACCACCCAGTGATGTCACAGTCAAAGGATGTCTGGCCCCTGAATATAAGCAGTGAGGGATGTTAGGTTACAATCCCTCTCCTGGTGGTGTTCCTCCCACCCAGTGATGTTACAACAGGAGACCTGTCCCTGCATTTCCTTGTGCCTCTACACATACATCCAGGGCTACTGCAGCTCTGTGTTACCCTCTCTCTTCTCACCCATGTCTTTGGCTCACCATCACAGTTAAATGCCAGTCACCAAGGCCTTGGCCATGTCTCCAGTTTTAGTATCAGTTCTTCACGGCATTTCTGTGGACATTCCTGTGAATTTTTTAGGTTAAGTTTAATTCCTTATTTTGAGCAGGATTTATGCTTATGGATGTGATCCACACTCAGTTTCACTTTTCCCTTTCCCTACCCAGCATTTCAGCACTCTAACGTTAAAGGCCACAGTAGTTTCTGGAATGAAGTAGTTAAAAGTTGTACAAGGTGGAAGCAACAGTGTCCTTTTAAGAGGAGAGACCAGGTCAAACCCCACAAAAATAATGACCTGAAAGAACAGATACTCAACTGGACAGTCAGATCCACAACCTGGCTCCATTCACAAAGGTCTTTGCCAAACCATTCTAAACTCATTTCCACATTAGAAGGATGGGTCTTTGGGTGTATCTCTTCCACTTCCTTTGTTCTCCACTTTCATTTGAAGCGGAGAAGTAGAACAACAAGAACAAATTTTAAATTTACCTTTTCTGATAAAGGAAACCTCACAACAAAATAGGTCTCTTGCTCTGCTTCAATGTTCTCCCTTATAGGCTGCAGATTTTTTTTTCAGCTCACAATTCAACTGGACCAGGTGGACAGTGTAAATTAGTGCTCAACAGGTGTTTTCCAGTAAATGCATGCTTGGGTTTACATCTGAAAATTAGTGTAAAGGGAGATGATTACTACAAAAGCTGTTCTCAGACGTAGAGAGAGCTGGGTAGAAAGGTAGGTGAGTAGGTGGGTAGGTAGGTAGCTAGATAATTGGACAGACAGATGGACATATATAAAAGGTGCCTTTTGTTAAGTTTCAAACTATGTTACATACAAATTTAATACAATTTTGTATTAACCCTAGGATGCTTGGCCATTAGAAATGTAAATAAATAAATACATATATTAGTTGTATATGTAATTGACAGGATCCAGTGGCCAGATCTAAAAGGAAAAGCATAAAAGTTGGGCAATAACATCCCAGTTGCCCTTCATCATGAGGAAAATTAGCAGTATTTAATCAAATAAGCAGTATTTCAGGAAAGGCCCCACACCTTTGATATGGAGGACTAAGAAAGAGAATTAATGCACTATGCAGCTAAGAGTGCTTACTGAAGTAATGATAACTTGACTCCCTGTCAGAGACTCTGAAATGGATTTTCATCTTCCTAGCCAGCCTTGTGAAACAAGATTCGTCACTTGAAAGAACAGCAATAGTAGCAGTAAACTCAATAGCATGTGGCAGAGGTGTATTGAAGAAATGATTAGCAAGTTCAATGTATAAAATGGATTTTTAGGCTCAAAATGGGGTCAAAAGTCCTTGAATTTCATGTCTCTGTAGGAATGTAAGAGGAATGGGAAAAAAAAAATCCTTGTTTCAAGTAAGTGAGGAGGGGATTGTTTTCTTGGCGTTTTTGTGCATGCACCCCCACATGCATAGGGATATTGTCCAAGCTGAAAATAACTGCAAATGATTGTGTGAAGACAGAACTTTCTTAGCAATCTTGCCACTTTCATGGTCTTTTGGATTGCAATAACCAAAACAGAAGTATAAAAATTTTTCATCTGAGCTTTGATGACTGTAAACAATCAGAGTCTCTGATAAAATAAGGCAGAGGCACTGGTCACACTAACAAAGGATCAGCAGTTTGGCTTTGACCCTTGTAGTATCTGTTTTTTCACACAATTGGACTGACTGCTGTGGGCAATCAACATGTTGGAAGTGATTAACACAAACAGATTGAGATACCACTCAACACTTGCCCCACCAGACTAGCAGGAGATACATAATTTATCCTCTAGGTTTTCATATCATCAGTGTATATACCTGTGTTTTGTGAGAAATTGCTGGAAGATCAGATTTAAATCACACTTTGTTATTTATTTAGTAGTGTATGGAAGGAAGTCACAAAATATTGGGGAGAAAATATCTGTAAGCCATAAAAAATATCTGACACAGCTCTGTCTAGGATTGCTAGATTAGCTTTCCTTATTCACTAGAAGCAAACTGTAATCCAACATCATGCTCTGCAGAATGTCAGTAGGATGTTCCCTGAGAAAACTGATTGCAACTAGTTCATCTGTAATAAGAAGTTTAAAAGGGACATTTCTCTCTATTACCAATTTTATTTGCTGGTAGTATCCTTCTCTCTCAATTAAAAAATAAGTGGTAAAGAGTATTACAGAATGAAAAATTCAAATAAATATGTCTTATGTCTTCTCCAGCGCTATTCTAGGCATGCCTAGTGAAATATGACTGCTTTTTGTTAATTAGTAAATGACTCCTAATTTTCTGTGTCACATGCAATTTCACATGTAATACAAGCTCTCTCAGTGTGCCTCTTTTCTTACATATGAATATTACAACAGATACCAACTCAGTGTTGCCAGGTGTGGATATTCATCATGGTACAAACACAAGAAAGTCAGTTAAATCCAATGCCTATCTGCTAGGACATTTAGATACAAAGAGAGCTATCAATCTGCAGCCTACAGCAGAAAAGTCAATGGAATGAGCATTCAAATGTTTGCTGTCAAACACATGCTAAAACAATGTGCAGAACTGTGATTGTATTCAATAGACAGACAAGGATTTGTGCAAGCATACTTTATAACATGGCACAAAGGCAAGAGCTGCTCATCACCCTGAATAAAACACTTGACATTCCTCACTCCAGGATATGGCAGTATTGAACAATTTGCATTGGAAAAGACCCTTAAGATGAAGTCCAACTGTA